ATCTAAATGTATTTTGAATTTACATTTATCTTATGAGTACAGTTGAACACATCTTCATATGACTTAAGGGCCACTTATATTGCTTTCTTGTAAACTGTCTGTTCATATCTTGGCCCATTTTAATAATAGTTTGTGTCTGTGTTGTTTTCCTACTTTATCATTTGGCTTTGATGGTGGTGGTAGTGGTTTTGTTTGTTTCCTTTGTAGAAGTTTTTAATTTTTAGGTAATAAAATTTATCAAACTCTTCTTTTGTGGCTTTTGGATTTCTAAGTGTTAGGCCTTCCCTATCCCATGGCTACATGGTTTCTTCTAGTGCTGGTTTTTTTTTTTTTTTCTTTTCTTTTCTTTGATCCATTTCAGGCTTGTGATCTGAGACATGAATCCAACTTTATTTTTCAGATGGCTGCCCCGTTATCCCACTACCATTTACACAAAATTTGTCTCCATTAAACTGAGATGCCACGTTTGTCATAGATGAAATTGTTATTTAGATTATGCATTACTGTGGGATGAGATGTGAGCATTAACAAATTGGGTTAATTGGTGTAAAACTCAGTTTACTCATTCATGCAACAAACATTTATAAGGTGCTTAATAAATAATAATTATATGCCAGGCCTTGGGGATATAAAGATGTGTGTGAAAGAATCTCTTAAGAAAGTAGCTGGTCAGTGAGTATCATCTCAGTGCAGGGGAGTGCAGAGGGTGAGAAAGCTGGGGAACTGCTCCGTACAGCAGAGAACACTCAGCTGAGTCGTGAAGGTTCAACAGAAGTTTACCAGCCAGGAGGGGAAGGGCATTCTAGGAAGAGGACGTAGGAAGTGGGGAGGCAGAGATCCATGAGAGTCTGGTGTTTGGGGGGATGTGGAGAGCTCTTCATGGCCACAGTGTAGGACAGAAGACACAGTTGGAGATGAGACCAGAGGACAGTTAATGGCAGTGACTTTTGTCAGTGAGTGTTTGTGGGATTTGGGCATATAGTATTATGCCTCTGCATGCCTTCCACCCTCTAAACAGACGAAGGGGAAAGATGAGGTGGTCCAGAGTAAACAGAAGCCAACACTTAGTTGTGTTCTGCAGGTCAGTTGTTGAGTTTTGACCCCTGTTGCTTATTCTAGAGCACTCCAAGCTCCCGAAGCCGAAGTCTCACTTTGCTCCCCCATGGAACACCCAATTCTGCGTCTCCCTGTAGCCAGAGACACCTCAGTGCGGGGGCCCCCGGTGTTGTCACAATCACGCATCACAAGTCGCCTGCAGCCGCCCGAAGAGCCAAGAGTCAGTATCCCGGCCAGCTTCACGAAGTCAGAGAGGTAGGCTTTGCTCTCCTACTGGGTTAAATGGCCCATGGGAGTTGGGGGCTGTGACGGTTGCTTTGCCAACTCCCCTTCCTTTGCACCATCTTTTATTTACTGAGAGAGAGGACCAGCAGCAGACCTCCTAGCCGTACAGCCATGATGATCCCTCTTGGTTTAAGAAAAGATAATTGTTTCTCTTTCTTAGGTTAAGTAAGAAGTTGTTAGGAGACCTGTGTCAGTGCTTAGAAAGCAGAGAAAGCAAGCCCACAAAAACGTGGAAGTACGGTCAATTAAAGACTCCATGCTCATGGCAAAAATAATGGAAGTCAGGAAATCATTTAGGGTGCTTTGAAACTTAGGAAGTGTTAGACTTAAAGCTGATTTTCCTGGTTTTCTGCCCTGCTTCATTTTCTTTGTGAAGAGCTTACCTCCTCCTTACAATCATAGACACACTACAAGGGGAGTGTTGGGAGTGAAAGAACACTCTCCTTGAAGTCAGAAGACTGTTGTTTAAGAGCAAGTCTTTTCACAGCCGTAAACCTCAGTTTCTGCATCTGTAAAATGGAACTAAAACAACCTTTGCCAACCTCTCAGAGGACATAAGATCACTTGTGATAATGCCCATGAAATCTCTTATTTATAAAAGTGATGTGAGGTTATGTTTTATTTTTACGTTTGATACACTGGGAACTCATCAGTTTGAGGATCCCAGATCCTTAGTATTTGTATGATGCTTTCCAACTATTATGAACAGATTATTTAAAGTAAATGGTGTTGTTCTTGGCTGCCTGACTTCTATTGAGTGCTGAAGGTTATTTATTTATTTATTTATTTATTTAGGTGGCTAGCTGGTATGGGGAGCTGAACCTGTGACCTTGGTGTTACAACTGAGCTAACCAGCCAGGCCCCTGTGCTAATGGTTTTTGCCCTGCAGCTTTATTCATGTACAGACCAGCTCATTATCCTCTCAGGGAAAGTAGCAGAGCCCTTCCTTTGTGTCACACAGGAGGATGGGACTCTTAGACTAGGGTCTTGCTGCTGCTTGAGTCAGCATGCATCTTTATTTTTTAAGTGTCACAAGCCAGGTAGTGCTTTGTCCCTTGACTATCTTGGTCTGATTCTGCCCAGGGCAGAAAATCTAAAATCTTCTGAGTCAAATCTGTAGATACATATGAAAGAGTTTTTTTCTTTCTTGATAGATTTTACATATATTTACTCTGTATTGCTGAATAAAGAAAAAACACAGAGTAAGAATTCTTTTACTATTCAGGTAGAATGCTCATTTTGAAATAGTCAACCTGATGTGTTTAAAAAGAAAAGTGGCCTAATTTTGTTGTATTTGTTGATATGATGAATACTTGTACACTTGTATGTTGCTTTTCATTTTTCATAGCAGTTTTTCAAAACAATGTATTGTGGAAAATTTTTAAATATTCACAAAATAGTATAATGTAACCATGTAACTAACTTCAACAGTTTCAACTTTCTGTTGTTATTTCATCTGTTTCAGTTTTCCCCCACCACTTTTTTTTTCTTGTTAGAGTATTTTAAAGAAATGTTAAGTGTTGTAGAAAATTTTTAAATATTCACAAAATAGTATAATGTAACCATGTAACTAACTTCAACAGTTTCCACTTTCTGTTGTTATTTCATCTGTTTCAGTTTTCCCCCACCACTTTTTTTTTCTTGTTAGAGTATTTTAAAGAAATGTTAAGTGTTGTTTCATTTTATCATTGCCAGTGAATGCACTGGTGTTTCTCTAACAGGAGTTTTTTTTATAAAAGTTAAGTATGATCCTATCATCTTTTATGTAGACCTCATTAAAGATTATTTTACAAGTCCTTTGAGTCTATAGCCTTAAAAAAAAAGACAGTGGACAGTTGAAAGTTCATGGTATTTTGAGAATTTCTTTTTATTCTATTATAATGAATCTCTGTTGCACTTACTGTTGTAGTGATGATGGGAGGCCTGTATGTATGGGGGGGAAAAATGGAGTATTTAGTGAGCAGTGGCCTAAATAAACGTTGAAGTACTTTAGCTTGATTTTTAGTAGCATTTGATTCAATATAATGACAAAATCTTTTCTAGTTCCATTTAAAAAGAAATCAAGTTTTTAAAAGAACATTCTTTGTGTATGTGTATATAAAGATGTTTAACTATGTAAAGTATATAAATGCAAGTATACGTTGCAAAAGAAGTATAAAGAAAATCAAAATTACCTATATTCCTACCTTTGTACAGATTACTACTGTGCACCTTTCCATGAATTTACTTCTGGATTTTTTTTTTTCCTATATATTACACGTATAGATATGGAAAAATTACCTATACAGTATGATCTAAATTTTGTAAATGATTATGTTTAGGCTGCTTTTTTTCATTATCATTTTCTCTCCGTTTTCTATCTATGAAGGGAAATTATGGAAATTTCTTGTGAAGTTTCATTCAATGAAAAATAGGTGAAATGTTTCCATAGCCACTTTGATCTGGTTTTCGTTCTCCTGGGTGACAGTATTCTCTTCAGATGATTGCTTTTGTATATCGATGACCTTTCTTGCTGAAAATTCATTTTAAGTAAGACTGTTGAGCTGTAAGTGCAAACATTGGCAGTGGAGAGAATTTTAGGGTGCTGAGCCCCTCTAGGAAGAGTTGAAAGTTTCAATTCTTGGATATCACATTCACCTTCACTCCTGGGTGGAGAACGGTAGCTGCTTTGTGGCATTTTGTCATTTTATGATGTGTACAGGTCCACCTTGGGAACTATCTGAGCAAATTTCACTCATACCAGAAAGTTCTGTAGTTATTAATTTCCCCTTTCACAGTATGAAGGTCACTCCTGGGTGGAGAACGGTAGCTGCTTTGTGGCATTTTGTCATTTTATGATGTGTACAGTTCCACCTTGGGAACTATCTGAGCAAATTTCACTCATACCAGAAAGTTCTGTAGTTATTAATTTCCCCTTTCACAGTATGAAGGCCTCTGCTTTTAGATTCCACTGCATTTATCTATAAAATAACTAGAAGAAAATGGAATAGCATTTTTAACCCAGCTGTACAGGGAAGATAAACTTACGACCACTGAAGCAATGGAGAAAATCATCATACACAAGACATATGTGCCTGAATATTAGAAAAATGAAAGAAAAATAGCCCAGCCAAAGGCAATAGAATAAATATTAAATGGAATGCCACAGCATGGGTAAAATAATGGGACAGTTTGAAAGATTAAATGGTTATTGTCTAAAATGTAAAGAATTGAGATACCAAAGGTCAGAACCCAGTGTCCTCTTAGGAAGTGGTTAGGAGAGATGAGTATAAGGAATTTGAGACCCAATATCCTCATGAGGGACAGGCATATCCTCACCGGCAATTCAAGAAATGAAAAGACAACTTTGTCTATAAAATTATTGGAGTTAGTTATCCCCCATTATTGGTTGGGGTGTTAGGAAATGCTGCCAGTACGGCATATGGTCTCTTTGCTGTAATCTGGTGATGTATAATAAGAATGAAACAAAACTGCATTGCCAATTGGCTCATATATTCCCTGTTGAGAACTATATCCTGAGAAAACGATCCATGGAATTTGGGGAAGGAGCAGGAAAGTTAATTTGGATAAAGCTATTCATACTAACCAAGACATAAATTCAATACAAAAAATTATGGGAATGATGAAGTAAATAGTAATACGTTTATGATTACTATATAGCAATTTCAGATAAAAATCATATTAGTATTATTACTGTATGGGCATGTATATGTGAAATAAGAAAATCATTGTACAGAATAATATGTACACATTGGACCCTATGTCCATCTTAGTAAACTCCAGATGTTATTTAAATAACAGCGGTTCCCAGAGTTTTGGATTTTACTTGCAAACTAAGGCTTAGAAATAGAATTTTGGGAGCCACAGTGTTGCAAATTTTTTTATTTTACCCAGTGAGGACATTTTTAAAGCACAGTAACAATCTATGGTTGCCACTGTCTCATAAAAAGCACATTTTAATGCCCTCCCACCAAAAGAATGTAATCTCAGAATAAAGAGCCATTCATTGCATTGAAGATGTTGAGTTTTATGAAAAACATACTGTATTTTTATTGTTTTCAATATTTTATCTTGGACCGGAAGAGAGTTCATCATGGATTCATCCTAGCCAGTGGATCTGTGTTTTTAAACCACTGGTTACCACCTCTGAGTTTTAACTTCAGAAATGTCTTTCAGTCCAACCTGTCTTCTCCGTTGCCATTGCCAGTCTCTCTTCTTTCTAGTTCATCAGTGCTTTATCTCCAGGAAGTCACTTTCCTACACGGAAGTATTTTATCATATCGCCTTTCTGCTTTTGGGGAGGGGGGGAGATTTTGATTCCCCACTGTCCCTATAGGGTAAAGGTCAAACTCTTCATGCTGGCAAACAAAGTCCTCTGTAGACCATCCGCAATGTCGCCTCCCCCTGCCCTCAGCACCCCGCCTTGTCCCCACCATGGACTTACCCCCTCCTCTGTTGGAGGTGCACTGCCCAATAGAACTTTCTGCAGTGATGGAAATGTTTCATGTCTTTGCTGTCCGCAAGGGTAGCTGCTAGTTCCATGGGGCTAAGGAGCTCTTGAAATGTGGTTGTTCTGAATGCAGAGGTGCTGTAAATGTAAAATACACACATATTTCAAAGACTTAGTAAGATATTTTACCTCGTTTTGTGCTAATAATGTTTTTAATAGTGATGAAATGTGGAAATGGGAATATTTTCTATTTATTCAGCTAAATAAAATACATTAAAATTCATTGCACCGTTTCTACCAAATGTCTACTAGAAAATTTAAAGGCACGTGGCTTGCATGCGGCACTGCCTAGACTGTGAGCTTGCTCGCTCACTCACTCCTCCATTCATTCGGGGGGAACCTGGGTATTGTTCTGAGGGTTGTCAGGTATTCACTTGGTCTCCTCTGACTGATAGCATTGGGTGTGTGCGCATCTGGATGACTGTGTGACCAGGGGCAAAAGGGAGGATAGTGTGACCCT